GGCGGGGCTCGGACGTGCCGGCGCCCGGGCGGCCCCGCGCCTCCGTGCAGCGTGCTCCATGCATCCGGAGCCCGCCCCGCCCCCGAGCAGCCACAGCCCGGAGCTTCCCCCCGGTGCGGGCAGCACCACCAGCGGCAGCCGCCGGAGCCGTCGTCGCAGCGGGGACGGGGAGCCCCCCGGGTCCCCGCCGCCCCCGCCCGCCGTCACCTACCCGGACTGGATCGGCCAGAGTTACTCCGAGGTGATGAGCCTCAACGAGCACTCGATGCAGGCGCTGTCCTGGCGCAAGCTGTACTTGAGCCGCGCCAAGCTCAAAGCCTCTAGCCGGACCTCGGCTCTGCTGTCCGGCTTCGCCATGGTGAGCGCGGGCCGCCCTGCCCTGCCCCCTCTCCGGCCCGGGCCAGCCGCGCGCAGCCCGGCCGGGCCCCCCTGGGGACGCGGGAGGCCTGGGGCATGGCCGGTGGTCACAGTGACGCTGGACCTGGGAGGTATGGAGAGGTGGGAAAGCCATCCACGGGTCCGATGTGCGTACGGGAGGGCGGGTTCGTTGCAGCTAGCACAGAGGAGCACAGGAGGAGCGAGGGGGCCCCCCTCTATGGCCCGGGGCAGCAGAGGCTTTGACAGGTGTCAGAGGTGGAGATGGGAGAGGGACCCCACCCCAGCTGTGTCCTACTGTCTGTCCCCACACCTGAGGCCAGCGGACACTGGCCACTTTCTAATAAGACACCAGGAGGGTCCCTCCCCCCCACATCCTTTTTCTGAGCCTTTAGGGGGTTGACAGCCTCTCCCCAACCAAACTTACCACTGAGTCACCAGGCTCGGGGGAGGAGAGGAGGGATAACATCGCGATTAAACAAGCTGCTCCTCCCCCCAGACTCCAAATAGCTGGAGTGGGAACAGCTCCCCACCCCTGGTGTAGAGAGTGAGGCCAGCAGGTGGGCCCCAAATGTCCATTGGTTACCTTCAGGCCTGGAATCTTGGGAGTCCACCCGGGATGGGGCATCCCAGAGCAAGTGGTTATTCACTGACTGGGGTCTGGTGCCCTCCCCCAGCCCTCCTGAACCCCTCTTGCTGGTGGTCCAGGGTGAACTACGCCCTTGACCTTAGGGTAGGGCGTGGCCGAACCACTTTGCTTTCCCTGGAAGGGAGCGTGTTCTACCTACAAGTGGGGCCACTGCGGGGTCCTGGACCTTCTAGAAGCCCTGCTTGAGCCCAGAAGGAGTCCTGGTGGTACAGCAGTTAAAGTAGTAGCTGCAAATGTAAAGATAAGTAGTTCAAATCCACCTGCTGTTTCTAGGGAGAAAGATGTGGCAGTCATCTTTCACGGGCCTGGAAGCCCTGGGGGACGTTTGTATTCTGTCTGCAGTATTGCTAAGCGTCACAGTCAGCTTCAGGCAAGGCAGCCTGGGTGAGCTCAGAGCCCAGAGAACTGCAGGGAGTCCCAGCTCTGCCCTTGCTACCTGTGTGGTGTAAGTGACTACTCAACCTCTCTGGGCCTTGACTTCTGAGTGGGTAGATGAAGTCTGGATTCAGCAGTTAGACGTCCTGGTGGTGTGCCGGGTCACCTGCTGGTCTGTTCATCAGATCTTGCAGACGGGCTGAAGGAATGATGAGGCTGGCTGCTCCTTCAGATTTACAGCCTTGGAAACCGAGGTTGCCAGGAGTCAGAATCCCCTGGATAGCTGCAGAATCACTCAATTTAGCCCTGAGAGTGTAATGGTTACAAGTTTAACCGTAAGCTGGGCAGTTTGAAGCCACAGCACAAAGGTCTCAAGATGTGCTCCTGTCAAGATGGTAGAAAGGAAACCCTGGGGCCAGTCCTCCTCTGTCTCATGAGACTGTTATTAGTCAGAATCAACTTGGTGGCACCTGGTGGCTGAGGAGTTTTTCCAACTTTGGTAAATAAGTGTGTTGGTGGATGAAAGAGAGAGGTTCTGATTTTTTGCTTAGCTCTGTGAAGTGGAGTTCTGCTCTTGGAGGGCGGAATCCTGAGAGGCCAGTCCCTGCCCGCGTCTAAAGAGTTGAGTGCCCACATGTGCTTAAGGGTGTGTAAGGTTTCCTGACTTGACTCCTCAACAGCCCACAGAGGTGCTTTTTAGCCGAGGTCTTTTTCCAGACTCACACAGCTGAGTGCAGGGGAGATCTGAACCCATGTGGAATGGCGTGCAGACCCCATCCAGTTAGGTACTTGGGCCCTGCTTTGTGGTTGACGGTTCTCCTGGCCCTTAAAAAATAAAACAAAAAACTACAGCCATCCATCGGGTGTATCAACTCAGCTTTTCCACAGCTGCTGTAAATGTCCATGGGAGTACAGAGCAGCCAGTGGGGTTTGAACTGCTGAACTTTGCATTCACAGCCCAGTACGTAACACACGATGCTAACAGGACTTTGATAGATGTTTAGCCACACACATACTGGAATCAGATCCAGGGAATGAGAAATAGGGCAAAAAGTTTATTTTAAGGGGGGAAAAGAGTTTTGACAGTTTTCATGAGGGGAGAGATCACGGAACTCCAGTGATTGCTCCTTCATACAGCGCTCTGAGTTTAAAATGGGGGGTTCCCATTTCCCCTTCTTTGGGGGTCATAAATTCATAGCATTCTTCACCCCTTTCCTCTCCAGGAGAGGTACAGACCAGATGGGGGACCAGCTGTCTTCCAGAGCATCTGGGCTTTGAGGAACAATGTTACGTATGTCCTTCTTCCCCTTGCTGGACATAGTGTGAGAGGTCAGGGGGCTGGGCAGTGAGAAGCACGAGAGTGGGCCTTGGCTCACCCATACTGTGTCTTGAGGCATTTTGTTTTCCCCTTCCAAGGTGGAGGAGGCTTCCTGGATCTGCCTCCCAAGGTCTGACACTGTCACAGATTGCACCCTAAGACAGCTTACAATCTGGGGTAGCAGTTACACAATGGGAACACCCACAGAAGGTGGTATTGGGGGTGGGCAGCACAGCCTGTCTCACCTGGCCCACCCCCACCACAGTCACCCAGTCTGGGGGTGAGCCTGAGAGGAAGGGGTGCTTGTGCAGCCCGCTGCCATGGAGACTGGGGTGAGCGTTTCCTGGAGCATTCGCCTTAGGCCAGTGAGTCAGCACTGCCAACTTCCTGCCCCCAGTGGGCGTCCTTCCAGAAGAGTTACAAATGCGGGGGGCTGGTGTGACCTTGTGCCCCTACGCTGGGGAGGGGGCCAGCGTGCTGAGATCACCTGTGGAGCAGGTGAGGTGGGTTGGAGAGCTGCCAGGAGGGGACCGAGAACACTGGTGTCCGGCGCTGACCGAGGACAGGCCCTGTGACAAGTGGCTTTCCTGTGGTGGGGCCGTTTTTCTCATCTGTACCACAGCTGCTGTGGGCTTGTGTGAGGGTCCGTGGCAGGTCTGGGAGGGCTGAGGAATTTTGGAGGCTCCTTGATAGTTGAGATGCTCCTTGATCTGCTGACAAGAGTCCCACCTGCTCGTAACAGCGCTTCTAGAATCAGCAGACCTTCGCTGGGCTCCACGACCGAGCCCTGAAGTCAGATGCAGCATCCTCTCAGCATCTTGTGATCCATGCCCTCTGTGCCTCGGTTTACCTCTTGACAAAAGGCCTTAGCCTCTGCTTTTCTGGCTGTGGGGCCCACGCGGGGCGGCTGGCCTGCAGGGACCAGCAGGCCTGTAACATTAGCCTAAGCAGAAGATAATTGGGAAGGTCAGTGTGCTGCCGTCAACAAAATGCTTTCCACGACCCGGGATCAATTATTTTGGGATTATCTACCTCCTCCGGTTCTCTGCCCGCCAGCAAGCACCCTTTTGTTCCCAGTCCCAGAGCAGACCCAGAAGTTGCTTGGGATTTTGATGAAAATGAGTTGGAAGGAAAGGTTTAGATCATAAGACTCGACTGGGCACCGTGTGTGGCTTTTAGAAGGACAGACGATGGGCAAGGAACCACCATGACTTAGACTAGAAGGAGAATCCCTGCTGCATAGAAGATCGCGTGTTGGACTGCTGATCGAAAGGTCAGTGGTTCAAATTCACCAGGCTCTCCAGGAAAGATAGGTCATCTCTTCCTGTAATGATTTGAGGCCCTGGAAACACAGGGAGGCTCGTGTGAGTTGGAAGCAAAGGCAGTGGGTTGGGTTTGGTGTTGACAGTGTTGTTATTTTTGTGTGCCATTGAGTCAGAACTGACTCCTGGGTGACCTTCCAGCGGATTTCAGAGGCAGTAAATCACATGCGAGCAAATGTCCATCTTTCTGCTGAGCACCTGGGAGATTTGAAACGTGTGCCTTTGAGTTTGCAACGCAACTACTTACCACTAGGCCACCAGAGCACCCTAGGTGCTAATAATAGTAATTATTGTTCGATGCTGTTGAGTCGAGTATGACTCATAGTGACCCTGTAAACAACACATCTGAACCCTGCCATTCTCACAATCTCCAACATATTTGAGCCCATTGCTGCAGTCACCGTGTCAGTCCACCTGGTTGAGGGTCTTCCTGTCCTTCACTGACCTTTCAATGCATGATGTCTCTCTCCAAGGATTAGCCTCTCCTAACAGGGGCCTAAAGTTTGTGAGACGAAGCTTTGTTATCTGTGCCTTCAAGGAGCACTCTGGCTGCACCATATCTGTCCATTCTTGTGTCAGTCCTTGGGATGTTCCATGCTCTTCTCCAACACCACAGCTCAGAAGCGTCAATTCTTCACCTTTCATCCTTTTTCATTGTCTAGCTTTGCAAGTGATTGACAAGACCATGGCCACCATAATAGGTGCTAGTAATAATAACTGTCATTGTTATTGTTGGTCAGACTCTTCGAGTTGGCCATGTCCCATGCTTGGGGACCGACGTGCATCGTCTCAGGTGACGTGCAGCCTGGTGATGGTGGATGCAGGTGAATGACTGACCTGTTTGCAGCTACGTGGCTGGTGAGCTGTGCATCCTGTGTGCATTGTGTAGGCCCACTGCTACGGGAGAGAGTATTATTGAGGGAGAAAATGATGGGGCAGAGAGAAGACAGGGCCTCTGGGGTGGGCAGTGTGTGTTTAGATCTGAGGACCACCTCTTAACGCTTGTAACCTTGGGAAAGTCATTTAACCTCCAGGGCACTCAGTATCCACATCTGTAAAATAGGGAGTAACAGCAGCATCAACCTTATGAAGTTGTGTGAGGATTCAATGAGTTAGTATTTGTTAAGCATTAGGGGAGCTTTGGTGGCCTAGTGGTAAAAGATTGCGCTGTCAACCCGAAAGCATGTGGTTCAAATGTGCCAGCGGCTCTGTGGGAGAAAGGTAGGCAGTCAGCTCCTGTGCAATTTACTGCCTCTGAAACTCTCTGGAGGGTCAACTATGAGCCGGTCCCCCCTCAACAGTACACGACAACAAGCATT